AAGTGGGAGAGTGGGGACCCCTCCATGAGGCACAGTGGGAACAGTGCCCGGGCACACAATACTTTTAGGGGCCCAGGAAGATGCTTGAATTTCCTTTAAAATTAGAAGAAAAAAATAAACTTTTTAGTCAACGAAAACAGTCTCTATCCATAGCATTTTTAACACTCCAAAAAATATATTTTGTTTTATTCCTTTAATTTGGTGTTTTTCAATAATTAAAGTCACTCTTTTTTATTTAATTTAAATTATTTATTGTTTAAAGTATTACATGAGTCTCCCTTTTCCCCCATTGACCTCTCTCCGGCTGCTCCCACCCCCCAGCCCATGCCCTCACCCCCCTACCGTCTGTGCCCATTGGTTATGCTCATGCATGCATACAAGTCCTTTGGTTGATGTCTTAACCCCTCACTCCCCGCCCTCCCTCATAGGTTGGACAGTCAGATCAATGCTTCTACGTCTCTGGTTCTATTTTTGTTCATCAGTTTATGTTGTTCATTATATTCCACAAATGAGTGAGATCATGTGATATTTATCTTTCTCTGACTGGCTTATTTCGATTAGCATAATGATCAGAAAGGATATATACACCCCTATGTTCATAGCAGCACAATTTACCATAGCTAAGATTTGGAAACAGCCCAAGTGACCATCAGCAGGTGAGTGGATTAGAAAACTGTGGTACATCTACACCATGGAATACTACTCTGCTGTACAAAAGAAGGAATTCTTACCATTTGCAACAGCATGGATGGAACTGGAGAGCATTAAAGTTACTTTTAATGATTCTCCTTCATGGACTATAAAAACAGATAGGATTCATTTTTAAATGATAGATGCTCTTATTTTTAAATTTTATTTTTCAATTATAGTTTACATTAAATATTATCTATATACAGTATAACAGCAACATATTCATCTTCATATCAAAATTGTTGTAAAATAGAATTTTAAGTGTTTTTGCCACAGACAGAGCCCAGGACCCATGAAGGTAAAAACTGCAGCTCTGTGGAAAGCCCAGTCCCTCACTCTCCTTTCTGACTCCCAGCCAGTTCCCCCGTCCCGATGCCTTTAAACTCCAGCCTCCTCGCCCGCCCTGGCTGGTTTGGCTCAGTGGATAGAGCGCTGGATTGAAGGGTCCCGGGTTTGATTCCAGTCAAGGGCACATAGTTGTAGGCTTGATCCCCAGTAGGGAGAGTGCAGGAGGCAGCCAATCAATGATTCTTATCATTGATGTTTCTCTCTCTCTCTCTCTTCCTCTTCCTTCCTCTCTGAAATCAATAAACACACACACACACACACACACACACACACACACACACACACACACCAAAAAACCCTCCAGCATCCTCAGTATTATTGGCTCCTATTTTTTTGCTGTTCTTTCTCTATGTACACTTGCATGTAATCCCCAGAGGCACATCTGTATAAAAAGAGTTTTCATGATGATGATGATTCAATATTGACTGAGCACTTAATCATGCACTAAACTTATGCTAAAATGTTGCATTTATGATCTACTTAACTGAGTCCTCAGCACAACTTTGTAAAATAGGTACTATTACTAGTTCTGTTCTTAAAGAGAGGGAAACAGATTTCAGGGAGCTTAAATGCCTTATACTCAGACACACAACCAATTACGCCAGGCAGAGCGGGACCCTCACATCAGGTTCCCTTGTTAGCCATTATGGGCATGAGCCTTAGAGTCAGTCCATGGCTTTTAACCAGGTCCTAGGTTAGAAAATGTCCTGAGGTACTTTGTTAAGATGCAGAATTTGCTCTGATGAAATAATTTCCACAGAGGAAACAGGCTCTCACCCTCTTTATAGAGTTAGAACCAATTCTGACTTTTGCAATGACAGAACTGAACATTTCTCTACAACAGATGCTGTTGTCAAAAATTAAATCACATTCCTCTGGAATATGGAGGCACGCAAGGTAACTGTAAGCCACTAAAATGAGTATATCATTGATATTACAACTTTAGAAGCAAACATATCTTTTTATTCAGTAATTATTGATAAAAGGTCTTCTGTTCTTTCATTATAGATATTTGCTAACATATTAGGCAACTATAACTTGAGTTGTTTGGTAATAGTCCTCCGTGGTGTTGGAAAGGTGCAAAAAATAAGTGGGAAAACTGTAAAGCTTTTCCAAATGCTAGAACTGGAGCCATTCACACATCATTTAATAACTCAGCATCTAGATCGCTAATTATTTTTTAAAGAAAGCAGCAAATGCCCATTTTAGATGGGTTACTAAATGCTGGTCAAGACTTTTCTTCAAGTCTTGGCATTTTTCTCTTTCCTTGGTATCTTCCTTTTATTAATAGCAATTTATTTTAAAATGAAAGCTGTTTCTAGAAATGAATTCATGAAACATATTCTCCTACACTTCTGATATATGATGTAGATTTTATTTATGGCTTTATTTTGGCAAAAACACTTTTGGGGCAAATTACATATGAGACCATAGATCATCTATAGAAATCAACATCTGTGGATGCTATATTGTTATCCATGTACATTTTTTTATTTAGACAGAGATATTAAAAGAAATATTTCCTCCTAGTATCTTAATTTTCTTAGAACATAAATATATTTTATTAATTCCTAAGCATGATATATCCCAGCCATAATAGCAGTTTATTACTTTCTAAATCTTGCTTCCTAAGAGCAAAACATTATGCTACTTGGGTAAATCAAAATGAAATAACAGTCTATGTATCTTATATGGCTTTTTAACATTTTATTAAGAGTCATATTTTCTATAAATGAATGCCTATTTCTGATTAGAATAATTACATTAGCCAGAAAAGAAGGCCCATTAATAAGTAGAATAAAGAACATCAGAGTAGTATCACTGATGAGAAAAAGATAGGAGGGCTGACTCTTCAACATTTAACATTGAAGGATTACCTCTAAATAACTCATACCACTACAGAATTCTTAATAGAAGTAGAAAAATAGGACCTCTCATTGGTCTCTATCAGTGATTCTCAACTGGGATTGATTTCACCTCTGAGAGGACATTTTGGATTGTCACCGCTTGGAGAGGGGCGTACTACTGGGATCCAGAGGGTAGAGGGCAGGGATGCTGTTAAATAAACATTCTTCAGTGCACATCATAGCTCCCCCAAACAAAGAATTATCCAGCCCTGCTATCAATAGTTCCAAGATTGAGAAATCTTGTTCCAAATCTGGTGGTTTTATGTAAGTCAAGTAAATTAGCTCCTTTCCCTCACTGGTACGAACATAACTAAGAGTTGCCTCTGTGACAACCATATACATTCCAGTTGACGATATAATTAGATACAGACTCTAAAGTAGAACAGTTATTTATGGCTAAGTTGGCACTTAACAATGTTTGAGCACATAAAGGATACAAATGTCTATTAACAAATTAATTAAATTAGCCTATTATTCACCAAAAAGTCGTAGTAATTGATTTTTTAATTGACTGGTAAGCCTTGCATTTGCTTTCTCTTTACTGTCAGTCTTTGGTGAGAGGATCAAGTGAATAATTGGCATTCAGAAAGAAGTTGAGAGAATGAGGGAAGGAGAAATTAAGAAGCTGATTAACCACAAATTAGAGTCTCCTTTTTGGCCATTTGAAGGCAGATTGCTTCTTACATTTGTTTAAAATTTAATAATTGAGCCCATTAGACCAAAATCTAATTTGAAATGTAAGGAGGAATTGTAATTTTCCCCCTTAACCAACAGATAAAATACAATTACAGTTTAATTCATTTCCTTTTAGGTTCCCCGTAAGGCTTTGGAGATCCCACTAGAACAGCCTATCACTTATCTGCAATAGTTGACTCTGGACTTCAGCCTTAGGAATACAATGAAGGAAGGCACTGTGGATGCTGACAGAAAAGAAAAACGACAATTCCGAAGACCAAAAGTTTTTAAGTCTCATAATGCATATCTAGTTAGCTATTAACGTCAATGGAAATTCTGCAATACCTAAGAAGTGATGGGAGGTAGGAACTTTTATCCCTCACTCTTTGTATTCTAAACTTCAACATGGTATCAACTTGCAGTGAAACCTACAGACTAATAATGAAAGTAAACCTAAAGGAGAAATAAGAAAAAGGTCTCTGGATTAGGATTTTAGCTGGAGTGTCTGGTGAGAAAACCTCTGCGATTGAAGTCTCCCAGTTCCTAAGGAAGGGGCTACAGTAATCTACATTATTTATTCATTACCTGTTCAGTCATTTGACAGTTTATGAAAGGAAGGCTAAAAAATACTAATGCTTATTAGACGTCTTTCCATGTTATAGAATACAGTACTGCCGGGGAACCACACAAAAACTTTTAATTAAGACCTGGAAATTATTCTTATACATGACTGAAATACTTTCCTTCAATCACCTGTAAGACACATCTCACAAAAAAATTCTAATATTTTTCTTCAGATCATAGTAACAAATGCCTAATATAATCTACTGCCTAATGTAATAGCATGGTAATTAACTGGTCTTAATCAATATATTATATGAGAATGGAGACATATCTTGGAAAATAATAGCTACTTCCCCATTAATGCTTTTATCTTACATTGTTAAGGTATAATTTATATCCAAATAGATAATTTATAATAGCCAAATACATTTTATGTATTTTACATACAGTAAGTTACATAAATCTTAAGAGCATAGTTAATTAATTACATTTCTATATACCTACATACCAAGTGGTTTTGGGGAGCTATATAACCACCCCACCCAGGTTAAGATATTTGTCCCCAAAAATTCACTCATGCTTAGAGGTACCCATACCTTCTAGGTAACCGCTATTTTGATTTCTATCACCATAAGTTAGTTTTATCTGTTCTTAAACTTCATATAAATGTAATACAGTATGTCTTATGTCTGGCTTCTTTTTCTCAACATAGTGTTTTGGAGATTCTTCCATTTTGTGTGTACTAATACACACAAATGTCTCAATAAAATTATGTTAAATTGGTTTACCCCTTTTCTTATCGAATTGTTTACAGCTTTGAGCTATTACAAAGACAACTCTGGGGAATAGATGAGACTGTGATGGTGGTGAGTAGAGAGGGGAGGATACTGTACTTGGCCACTACATGCAAGAAAACATGGTAGATACATACCACTCACTGAGTCCTTGCGGGCCATTATTCTCTTACTGACCCTCTGTGCTTTCAATGTTCCAAGTGGCATAAAAAATCCCTGTGACATGATGCATTTAGTTATATTTGCTGAGTGGATTAGTACATATGATAATAGTACCAATTATTACTTCCCTAGAATCACCCATAGGGAGGGTATATGATGTGAGGAAATGTAGAAGTTTATACATAGAATCCTAAGAAGGGGGGAAAGACAGAGGAGAGAATAATCAAACAAGACAAAGTCTCTGGGCAGTGTTTACCTCCTCCAAAATCAATAGGCTAAAACAGGATGTGTTGCTCACAAGAGAAACTACAGCTTTTCGGAACGATCAAGGCATGAGAAGTGGATTCGAAATATATCTACCCAAGCAAATTAAACCTCATTCATTGGGTATCCCATCTGTAAAATAGTTCCATAAATTTTCCTCTCATTCTTTAAAATAAATTCTGCCGAAAGTAGTTTAAAATTTCAAAGTAGATCCAGGGACAAATCCAAGAAACACAGCACAATTTAAAAGGGAAATATAAAACCAATTTCATAACTAAGTGTGAGTACTCAGACTTTTTTCATATTAACCACCATAGATCCACTGAATTCAGTCAGTTCAAGGAAGAGCCACCCACTAAAAAGAAAACCACTCATAACAGGGTATCTTAGCTACCTGGCTGAGACTCCTGCTTTTTTGAAATGAGACCACAGTTTGGATTGAAAGACATACTTTTCCCCCCAAACAATTTTCATTTGGCATTTTTCACCTGGGTTATATCACTTCCAAGTCAATCCAAGTGCAAAGGTAAAATTCACTTACCTGCACAAAACCGCATGCCATAAAGTCCTCAAACAAGGGCAGACTTGGACGGTCTTCTCGATAGATGGTGAGTTTGTACGTGATCAGGGTCTCACCCTGCGCCAGAGATTCATCCACCACAAGCATTGAGATTCTGTTTGTTCCTAAGCCCAGAGGGTAGTTGGCAAAGCTGGAGAGAGAAACGTCTATTCAGCCCAAACGAATTCATACATCAATATTAAGTGCCTGTAATTTGTCTGTATGATTTCACAAGAAACCTAAAATGTGAAATAAGTATTTTCACTTCTGTTTCCCAGTACTTTGGTTGGTACGCTAAGAGTTATCTTGCTAAGCAAGTCATGTCTCCTATAAACGTAGGAAAGGGAACTAACATTTATTAACCATCCATCAGGGTAATACATTATCTCATTTAACAATCACAACAACTCTACACAAAACCATGATTGTCCTCATTTTAAATATAGAGAACATAACTTAGAACCAGGAAACAAACTGCCCAAGTCACATGGGACAGTCAGGTTTGGGACCCAGCTTTATCTGGCTGATTCCTCTTTTCTTTCTACTACATTTTCTTGGCTCCCAAGGATACAATAGCATTTCTTTCCCTACAGCGTGGGAACATGAGTATCTTCCTTGCTATGGACACGGATATCAAAAGGTTTTATCTTCTGTTCAGAATTACAAACAAAATAGTTGGTGGCTCTCAACAGAGTCAGAAGAACAAAATCCCAGTGAGACGAGGAAAGTTAACGTGACTCTGTCCACAACATGTTTATTAAGTAATCAATTCCTGAATATTCAAAAACATGGGGAGGTGGGTTGGTAGGAGGCCACTGTTCAGAGGGATTAACTCTTTAGCAATCTAAAAACACGAGGACAATAATAAACTACCTTCTCCCTTAATGAGACCTCTTTGATATTTCATATCACAAGATCCACTCCTGTTAGAACATGGTTACCAAGATCCTATAAAAGATTGCTCATAGATCAGCAGAGCGCTGATGTGTTCTTTGTAACCACACGACACCTGAGAAGTGGAAAGATTTCACACCCTGTTAGTCTCTCCAACTGATCTCGTGCCTCAACGTTTCCGAACCACCTGCAAAGGTTGCCTCGAATGTCTGCTTCCCACTGTGACATCTTCACTCAGCCTGGCAGCATTCCCTACCTTGGCCCTGCCCGTTCATGCAGGTACACCTTGCACTGACAGTTAGAAGTCTCCACGCCAATTGTCACGGTTACCACATCAAAAGGGACTTCAGAGTAATAATCTTTGATCTTCGGGTTAAATTCCGGACTTAGTTCCAAATGTGGCTGTGTGAAGATCTGCTTGATATGACATTGTATGTCTTCATCTGTGTTGTTTTTTTTAAAAAATGAAAAGGAAAAGACAAATTGGTCAGAGTGGATTTGTGACTGCTATTTGTCAAATTTTGTAGAAGTTGGCTTCATATAGCAGCTATTGACTTTACTTGGTGTCACGGAGATCATATATTTTGTTCAGCCCTTTCAGCTTTAAAGGCACAGGAGGTAGGAAAATGTCTCTCCAGTGGATTGATAACATGTTCATGGCATTTACTGCATATGTTAAGCAACAGTGAATCTGGGGTGATGACTCTGTGGGGTGGTGACAGAAGAGACCCAGCAGGGAAAGAGGAGAATTTCTTACCAGGAAGTGTCATTAAACTGCCATTGGGTTGATAAAGTAGCTTGTAGGCAGCAGGATGGAGCAAAGAATGTGTACTCTAATCTTATACCAAACACTCAGATCTTATACCACACATCACAGAGGTCCCTGCCCCGCTCCCTACCGCAGGCACCTCAACCTAAGAAAGTACAGTGAAGTGTAAGAAGGAGATGCGATTTTCTGCTCAATCCTACTCGATAATTTACATATTACTTCATACCATTGATTCTAAGCCATTTTAAAGAATGTTTCTCTTTGGTAGACTAATGTTTACAAAATTATCTTAACAAGCAAAAATACCAGCCGCTGCTAAATTATATTGTGTTCATACTTGGAGTAACCAAATTACTCAAAAGAAGCTTAGCAAATGTTTTTCCAAAAAATATTAACAAGTCTTTCATTCCATAAATACTTTCCAACCGACAACAAGGTTTCAGTAAAGAAAAATGTAAAAAAAAAAAAAAAGAAATTCTATAAAAATTGGTAAAATGAAAGTGTCTTCACACTGCCTTTAAAATACAATGTTCAGTGATGTTTAACAACTTAGCAACCAAAAGATAACAGAATTCACTGCAGGGAGTTATACAACTGAACTTAAAAAAATGATTATCTTATTAACTGCTGCCTCTTCCTCCATTTTTATATGGCGATCACAATGAATTCCTTAACATCAAATCCGATGATTTGTCTCCAGTGTTTTAATGTTTTCTCATCACCTCCAGAATCCAGCTCAAGCCCCTAATGAAGCAGGCGAGGCATTTCACAATCTCTTCCTTGCCTTTCCCGCTGTTGCATCTCCCCTTCTATCCTGGATTTGTGCTTCAACAGTACCAACATTTTTTATCTCTTTGACAGGCTTGGAGAGGCACCACCAAATCCATGGTGATGGGTACCACTAGCCTTAGGAATATGTTATTCTAGTTCTGAGAACTAGGTCACAGTATAACTCCCATTGTTCATTAAAAAGATGAAAACAAAAATATCTGTACATTTCTGACCCACACTCTATGGCTTCCTCAGGCAATAGAAGAAAAAACTATTCAGGTATAAATTAGGACCATTAACAATGCAACTGATATATTGTAATTTCATTGTAGGAAAAACTCTTACTGAAAAAAAAACCACTAGTCAATTTAGTTGAGGAAGTCAGTGAATTGAGTCAACTGCCAGCCTGATTAATTTTATTTGTTACATAAAAATTCTATCTGGCTGGTAGATGTAGGTAGATTCCACCATAATTTTGATGATCACACCAGCTCCTAAATACTTTATAACAAATTAAAACATAAAAGAATGAGGGTGAGATTACATTATTAGATTTCATCTTGAAAAGGCCCATACCTTTGTATTCTAATTCAACCGCTTGTTAAGAATGCATTTACAGATTTAAAGACAGAGAAGCATCGATCAGAGATGCTCAAACCTGAGAGGGAAGGTAGGGAAGGGTGGGGGTAAGGGGAAGAGATCAACCAAAGGACTTGTATACATGCATATAAGCATAAGTGATGGACACAGACAACAGGGGGTGAGGGTGAGGGCAAGACTGGGGGGATGAGGGGACAATGGGGGGATAAAGACACATTTGTAATACCTTAATCAATAAAAAAGTTTAAAAAAAAAGAATGCATTTTTTCTTCAAAGAATGTTTTCGGGCATAGTCTGTGTTCAAGGCACCGAGGTCAGCACAGGAAAAGCAGGCTATTGTAGGTCATGAGGCTGATGAAGTGGAGACGGTGACCCGACATGCCCCTTCCAACCAGCTCCGCTCAGTGGTAGGAAAGGCCATTTCCTGGGCCCGAAGGGCGTTTAAACACTTGCACGCCCTCCTACGCTCAGACCAGTTAAGTAAATAACAAAATAGAAAGTGTTTTTTTTTTCTTCAAAATAATAATCATAGGAGGTGTACTTCACTTTAATATATATTCCTATCAGTCGTGGAGAGTTCATTTCTCTGTAGTTGACACCGTCACTTAACAGTGGAAGTGTCCAATGAGGCTCTCCCATTGCAGCACTGAAACAGCCCTCCAGGAGGTAAAATGCAGAATCTTACGTTTAAGCAAGATTTTACCAAGTCCCTGTTTGGGGTTTCAGCGGAAACTTCACCTCTGGCTTCCGTGCTGCATCATAAACCCCTGCTTGAGAGCTGACTTAGGCCTGACGTCACATTCCACTGAATCATCCACGTCGCTGCCTACAAACACATGGTGTTGCCTTGGCATCCTCTCCAACCCAGTCCCAGCTTGTCTCTGGCCTGCTCACCTGAGTCTACGGGGACCCCAGGATGGTAGCAGGCTGCGTCATGTACTTGGCAAGTCCACATGGAAAAGCTATTTGAAGACTTGGTTGCTTTTAATGTGTTTCTCCTAACCACAGACTTTTATTGCCCTCTTGAGAGATAATCATAACTCATATTAAACACGAAAACACCCTAGAGTCTGAAATATAACCCCACCTGTCCTGAGGCATTATTAAGTTATCTTTAAAATCTCATACCACGAAAGTAGGAAGATTAATTATGAAGACACAGGTCAGACTCATTTTTATTGGCATAAAAACATGAAAAGGGCCCTAACAGGTTTTGCTCAGTGGATAGAGTTTCGGCCTGCGGACTCAAGGGTCCCAGGTTCGATTCCAGTCAAGGGCATGTACCTTGGTTGTGGGCACTTCCCCAGTAGGGAGTGTGCAGGAGGCAGCTGATCGATGTTTCTCTCTCATCGATGTTTCTAACTCTCTATCCCTCTCCCTTCTTCTCTGTAAAAAACCCAATAAAATATATTTTTAAAAAAAAACATGAAAAGGGTGAAGAGCGTATATAACACTTTCACAGTATCTATGTCATGTTGCCTGGGAACTGATAAAAAAAAGAGAGAGAGAGAGACAATCTCATATAGTTGTTTCATTTTAAAAATAAGAAAGTAGAAGACCAAAGAGGTACAGGGTTTACAGGGTTTTCCTGATGCTTCTTCAGCCCAGAGCCCAACACACAGCAGGCTCTATAATAATAGAAGTATAATATGCTAATTAGACCGGACGTCCATCCAGGAGACCTTCCGGATGAAGCCAGGACTGCGAGGGAAGCCCAGTTCCCAGGTGCAAGAGGGAAGCCGGTGCCAGCAGCCAGGGGAAGGAAGGCCTACTCTTGCACAAATTTCGTGCATTGGGCCTCTAGTGTCTATATAAAGCAGAAGAGCTAAGCTTGTCCACTTGAGCAGCCTCCAGGAAAAGCCGCACCCTCAGGGCCCCTCAAAATGAATTTGGAATATACTGGCCTTAAACAAGCATAAAATATTTTTATGCAAACGTGATAGATATTGACTCATTCAGAAACCTCGTATCTTCTGAAATTTTACTTAAACAAAGAGCCTAAAGATACACAAATATTTTGCCAGATAAGTATCACATGATCTCACTCATATGAGGAATCTAAAAAACAAACTAAACTGATAAAATAAATCCCGAGACATAAAAACAGGGCAGTCTGTCGAATCTGAGGGAAGGTGGGAGTGGATGGGTGGGAAGAGATTAAACAAAGACTTTATATGCATAACCCATGGACACAATGTGGTAAAGGCCCAGGGAGGGGAGGTAGGTTGGGAGGAGTCATTGAGGGAGGGGGAGGGTATATCTGTATTACTCTCAACAATAAAGATAAATTAGAAATTTAGAGAAAGATAAACAAAATAAAGTGATGATTTATTCGAAGCAGAGCTGTGCCTGCTAGTGCTGCTGAAACCGCCCACAGGTACTCACCATTGCTGCAATGCACTTCTATGGTTGCATTCATAATTTGTTGAACCACAACTAAAAAATTTAAAATGAACACTTAATCAAAATTTAAAAAGACACATTCAGGAATCTCAAACACAGCATAATTTAATAAATCATATTTTATTATTTAACATTATTACATCAGAAAGTACTTGTAAATTAAACTGAAAACCACAGTAAAACAAAACAAGTTATTTGGTTCAAATCTCACAAGAATGATAATTTCAAATAGGGAAATATTAAGGGGGCAATATGAATTGTCTAAATGCCATTCATTGCCTCACAGTGACCGCTCATGATTCCTTCTAGTTCTATAATCCTATGGCTATTATTTCCCAAATTATTAGAATTACAGCAATTCCATCCTAGTGGGGTCAACTGACACTTCCTCTAAGTTTCTGAATTAAAATACTTCTTAATAAATATTTATGGTACAAATGAGTGAATAAAAACACAGTGCTTAAGCCATTCATTTTAAAGAGCACAAACTGGTGGGAGAGAGTAGAACGGAATTTCAGCTCCTCATCAGTTCTTCACTGGGCCCACTGATTCATTCTACTGAAG